TTACGGTCTATCAATTCAAAGACAGGAGAAGGCGCTGGCAGCTGGGTTTGGCTTAGGGGGCAGGAAAATGGCAAGTCTACTTTTTATGTAATCAAAAATAAAAGGAGAAAAACCAGTTCTATAGAAATTCCCTCCCTCTACCAAAAAAAAAAAACTGAGAAATGTTATCTTTTGAATGAGGAACCTCTAATTTTTTTCCCCCAAAATAAGTCACTTAGGCAGGGAGGGGCCTTCAACATCATTTAGCATTCTTTAAAAGCAAACTAAAATACATAAGCTAAAAATCTGAGACCAACTGCATGTATTTAACTTTCCTATAATTTCTATTTTTCTTTGAAAAAAGTCTCCTTGGCATTAGGTTCTACTTATTGTAATGTTTCTATATTTTCTGTCCCAATAGACCTACTCCCACCAAAGAAAAAGGTCTTAAGAAATGACAGACTCTATGCTTAGTTTCACCGTCAAAAACCAAAGCGCCTCTGGCAAAGCCTGTTCCGCCGATTAAACCCGTGTTTCAGAAGTCATCTGAATATCACATGAAATTGGAAAGACACTAGCCTGAACATGCTCCTCAGCCGGGCCCTAGGATCGGCAGCTTCCTCTGATACCATCTTCCTGTTCACCAACCGCTTGTGCGACCGCCCAAAGAACCGGGAAGGGACAGGGAGGCGCTGCTCAGCCTCCAACGCCAACTTCCCGGTCCAGGGCCTAAGGCCGGCTCTAAAGGCTCTCCATACATCCTCTAAGTAAGCTCAAGACAGAAAGTACACCATCAAAGTAGGACCATAACACGTACGGAGAATTCTGAAAGAGCCAAATGAGTTATATTCACGGGCCCACGTCGGGTGTCTTTTGAAACAATAACCAAGTCGCCTAAATTTCTGTCTAGCGACGAGCAGCGCTGGGAAACCCTAGCAGTGAGGAATTCGGCTGGCTGACTCGGGAAAGGACAGACTTTCCGAGAGACAGAGCCCCTCTCGGGGCCCGAGAGGACGGTTCCCCCAGGGGACGAGCACCCACCACCGCGCTGCGCATTCCCGGACTCCTGCCGCGACCCCGCCCAGCCTCCCCGGA